GGGGCTGGTGAGATGGCTCAGTGGTCTAAAGCACCTACTTAGAACAAGCTTAGCAAAGCACAGGGACTGCGGTTCAACCCCCTAGCACCACATGCCAGCCACCCCGCCCCCTGGCGGGCTGAGCTGGCCACACACACAAAAATAAATAAATAAATAAAATAAATTTAGAAGGCTGAAGCAGGAAGATAGCTATGAATTTGAGACCATCCAGGGCTATATAGTGAGCTCAAGGCCAGCCTGAACTGCATAGTGTCTCAAAAAGACAAAAAACAAAAAAGCATGAAAATCTGTATGAAGCCGGGCATGGTGGTGTACATCAGTAATCCCAGGACTCAGGACACTGAGGCAAGCAGATTACTGTGAGTACAAGCCTAGCCTGGGCTACAAAGTGAGTTGAAGGCCAGTATAAACTGTATAGCAAGACTCTTCTCAAAAAGAAGGAAAAAGTCAGTTTGGAGATTTTTTAAGAAAATTAAGTTAGGGGGCTGGAGAGATGGCTCAGTGGTCTAAAGCACCTACTTGGAACAAGCTTGGCAAAGCACAGGGACCGCGGTTCAATCCTCCAGCACCACATGCCAGCCAGCCGCGCCCCCTGGTGGGCTGAGCTGGCCACACACACACACACACACACACACACACACACACACAATAAATGTTAAAATAAAAAAATTAAAAAAAAAGAAAAAAAAAAGAAAATTAAGTTAGGGCTGTGGAGATAGCTTGGTCGTCTAACCAGCTGCCTGACAAGCTCAAGGACCTGAGTTCCCTGGTACTGCAGTGTGTGTCGGACCTGAAATGGGACATGGTGGCACACACTTGCAATCCTAGCACTGAGGAGGCTGAGACAGGAGGATCACTACAAGTCTGAACTGCATAGTGAGACCCCGTACAAATATATAGATAAATAAAAATTTAAAAAATAAATTAAAAAAAACCCTAAAGCTAGAAATCCCATTTGGCACAGATATTCCCCTTCTAGGTATTTTCCCCAAAGAGTTAAAGACACCATATAGTGGCAGTACATGCACACCTGTGTTTACGGCAGCACAATTCATAACAGCTGAACCTTGGAAGCAGCCTATATGTCCATCCACAGTGAATGGATTAAAAAAAAAAACCCACCACAAAACAGTGAATGGATAAAGAAAATGTGCTGTTTACACACAGTAGAGTACTACTAACTGCTACAAAGAAGGTGAAGGGGCCGGGGAGACGGCTCAGTGGAATATTCACTTCCCCGGAAAGTGCAAGGGCCTGAGTTCAATCTCTGGTTCCGCAAAACAAACAAACAAACAAACAAAAACCAAAGAAGGTGAACTCGAAGTCATTTGTCAGCAGATGAATGCACTTGAAACCATAATGGTAAGTGCCACAAATGAGACACACAAGCTTAACATCCACGGTTTCTGTTATATGAAAAAACCAAAATATGAATAGCCAAATAAAATATAGATAAGAGAGAGAGAGAGATCTCTCTCAAAGAGGAAGGTAATCAAGAGATGAAGGGAGGGTCAGAGGAGGAGAGGAAGGGGAAGAAAAAAGGAATTAAGAGGTGTCTTGCCCATGTACAAGTCCTGCAAATGCGTACTAAACACCAAGGGCATAAGTGGATTCTGAAACCAAAACCTTCGAAACCTACCACAATGGAAGGGACATGATGTGGGAAGCTGGTTTCAAGGATGACAGAAAGGTCGAACAGAAGTCAGCAATGAGGCAGTGACCCAGTGGCCACATTCAGGAGTGGCACGAGGACCTGGTATCATGAAGGACAGTCGTGTGGGTCCATGGCAGAGGCAGTCAGATTGAGGCTGAGAGACAGGAGGCAGGCTGGAGAGAGGCTCAGGGACAGGAAGTACTTAAGGTGGAGAGAGAGAGAGAGAGAGAGAGAGAGAGAGAGAGAGAGAGAGAGAGAGAGATCAAATTAGAAAAAGACAGAGCTGAGGATCCCCAGCAGAAGAGAGGGTTGGTGGCAGTCTCCAGGCAGCAAGCATAAGCATGGCCTGGAAGACAGTGGCCTATAGGTGAGACCCCATAACTGGAGCTTTATTGCTGTCAGTTGTTTAATGTTGGCCTGTTTGGACAACATCCATCTCCAGCTCTTAGTGCAGTGCTTGGGACAAGGTGGGCTCCCTGTGTTCTCTGAGGAGCTCCTGGGGCTGGCTGTCACAGCAGCTGTGGAATGTAGGTGTTGTGGTTTATGTCTAGATGTCCCCCAGGAGCCTCTGGATTCATGGGTGGGGCCTGAGGCTAGCTTGACAGTATGGGGTAGAGCCTGGGGAAGAGGCCGTCCCTGGGGGCTGGTAGGATGCACCTCTGGCTGTGTGGTGGGAGCAGCATTTCTCCGCCATCACATCTCTCCAAAATAAGCCCCACCTTTTTCTGTGTGTTAGCAGAGAGAACAGTGACTAAGACAGCTGGGGTACATCTCCACTGCTGAGGTCAACTACCCTCGCCTCCCCTCCTCCCCTCCTCCCCCAGGAGATGGCAGAGGAGAGGAAGACCTTTCTTCCCTGTGGCGTGCAGTTTGCGCTCAAAAGCCAGGAGTGAGAGGTTTGGCCTTGCTAGCCCAAAGTGGCTGTGAGATCTGGGGCAAGCTGCCTAACTTTTTCCATTCTCCGACTTAGGTTTTCATGTATGAAATGGAGACAATAGTACTGTTCTCTCCACCTCTCAAGGTCATTGTGAACGTGAGAAATGACATCACTCATCAACTAGTACTGATGTCAGAAGATCCCCTAAGCACTATTCCCTGGCATTAAAGGTTACGTGGCCCCTCAGTGCTGTGGGTCCTGCTGCTCACCCAGCAGAGGAAACATTGACTGCAAACACCTCAGGGAGACAGCTGTAGGGCTGTGGGGCTGGCCCACAGCTCCCAGGGTTTCTGAGAACAGAGAGGAGGAAGCCTCCTGCAGATCAATGTGCCCCTGCCCAGGTGAGGGCCCAGCCCGACTCCTTCAACAGCCTGACATGGGTAACGGAGCCTGCAGGAGGACACATGGGCAGCTGAAGCAGAGTTGATGCTTCAGACAGACTCTCCTGAAGCCGCTCCAGCAGAGTTGCTGGGAGCTGAGAATGCTTCCTGAGGGCGCATAGGCTAGGGCTTGTCGGAGAAGGCCCAGGTTCCTGGGGAGAGGAGAGCTCATTTCCTCATTTCTCCAGCTGAGAGGCTGCACAGCCCTCCTAGGAACAGAGGGAGCCCCTGACCTGGTCTATAGCAGCCTGAGAGGCCCCTGGAGGCAGAGGGTTTGTAGGTGAGGTGGTCGGAAGGAATGCAGGAGCCCCCCACGCCCTAATCCCCAGGGCCTGGGAGCGGGTGTGGCTGGTACAGCCTGGGACTGCACCTCCCTGCCAGCCGGCCCGGCCAGAGCCCCTCTGAAGAGGGAGGCCAGGCAGTGTGAATTATAGGCCTGGCCCAGTGGGAAGAGGGCTGAGCCAGGGGCCCTGGGCCCCTCGCTCTTTTAGGGGAAATTCTGACAGATCAAAGAGAATCTGCTCTTAGGCCCACCTTTCGCACACCACTGCTTCCAGGACCCTCTGTTCAGCGGCAGGAGTAACAGGACAGACAGGAGACGATATCTGTATGTGAGGAGAGCATCTTGCCTTTCCTTTTGATGCCTCTTGCAGGGTTCAAACCTCCATGCACAGCCTACCTGTGCTCTGTGAAGAAGCCTCACTGAATCCCTTCCAGTTCTGCCTTCCTGGGGTGGTTTTTCCCTTGAGTCCAGAGAGACTAGAAATAATGTATAATAGGATGCATTGACGCTAGCGAGACCTGCACAGGAGGGGACCTCTGTGTCTGCTCCGTGCCAGTCATGGGTTGCACCAATACTCTGTTACAGACTGACTACTGACCCTCAAGCTCTGGGCAGAACTGGGGATTTCCTGATGAG